GAAAAAGTGAGGTTAGAACGAAAGAAGCTATTTTATGTGCTTATAGCCGAACACAATATGCTGTAACAATTAAATTAACAAAATAAATAAAAAATGATTCAAAATTGAAAAAGTTAAATAAATAAAAAACGACTAAAAATTGAAAAAATTAAATAAATCAAAAATTTCTAAAGATGGAAAAAAATAAATAAATTAAAAATGACTAAAAATTGAAAAAATTAAATAAATGAAAAATTACGAAAAATTGAAAAAAATAAATAAATGAAAAATTACTAAATTATAAACGTATATTTGAGTTAAGTACATAATCGTTTAATCGTCGAAATATTACTTGACACTCAGTGGCCCACTTTCGTCGCTGCGAATATGGGAGACGAATATTTGGATAATGATATTTATACAGGATCATAATTTCTCAGTAAGACGCCACCTGCGTATTACGTCAAATCTTGATTTCCTCAAGCGAGTATTCACGCTCGCAACTAATTCATATCCTAATTCGATGAAGATGTAAAACTTACTTCGTGTTAAGTTCCAACAAGGGGAATACATGATTACGCAGGTTGTCGGAAGGAACTTACGAAGATTCACGGTTGCCGACGGTGTTGGCCTTTTGTTCGTTAAGGAAAACCCACGGAAATATGCACCTAGGAAGAGGGAATTATTCATATGAACCCTGAAACGACAAAGGTTGAAACAATCGCGGGAACGAAGCGGTATAAATCTTCAAACTGAAATCCATAATTTCGTAACCGCAGTTGCGAGAAACTTGCGACGCGAACACGTTTGACGCGGTGGCACTTTTCATTTAACACTTGCTACCACATTCAAGTTGTTGGAAATTGAATCTAGCAACATTTCAACAAGTTTTACTATTTTACATCTTTGTTTCTTACAATGATCTCATTCAGAGCAATGATATAATCAAAATTGCATAATTGAGTTAATATAAAATTATTTATAAAATTCCTGTAATTCAAAATTTGTCAAATGAGAAGTAAAATATATGCTTCATGTACGACAAAACGTATTATGTTTGATTTTATGAAAATAATTCATATTTTCATAATATCTCTGCCTCCTACTGCAGTGATCTCATTCGATCTTCAATAAAAATTGCACAAGTAAATTAATATAAATTATTCATAAATTGTTGTAACTCAAAATTCTTCATAAGAGAAGCAAAACTTATGTTTCATGTTTGACAAAACGTATTATACTTCATTTTATGAAAACAATTCATATTTTCATAATATCTCTGCCTCCTACTGCAGTGATCTCCTTCGATCTTCAATAAAAATTGCACAAGTAAATTAATATAAATTATTCATAAATTGTTGTAACTCAAAATTCTTCATAAGAGAAGCAAAACTTATGTTTCATGTTTGACAAAACGTATTATACTTCATTTTATGAAAACAATTCATACTTTCATAATATATCTGCTTTTTACTGCAGTGATTTCATTCGATGTTTAATAAAAATGGCACAACTAAGTTGATACAAATAATTCATAAAATTACTGTAACTAAAAATTCTTCATAAAAGAAGAAAACACGTTTCACATTTTACAAAACATTTTATATTTAACATCATGATATCAATACTATGACATGCTAAAATACCTAAAATAATATTTTCACTCCGTACAGTACAATATTCCTCGAAGAAATGATATTCTCCTCTCCGTCCACTTTAATCAGTGTCAAAGAAAAAAATTGGAAACAGTGCGACTGAAATGTTTACCGAGAGAATTTTTCGCACCATTTTGTCCGCGAATCTCGCCGACAAACAAGATGGAGTAAACGCGTGGCCCTTCTTGCCATTCACCGGCATCTTCGACGGAGAATTAAATCGGTTTCCAACAGCTGCGTCGTGCTTCTCGTTAGCACAACTTGGTCCACTTATTCTAAGGAGATTCCGGGGATTTACGGAAAATCATGGTGAATTCCACTCATCGTGAATAATTCAATAGACCCATGCACTTTGCATTAAACGGCACGGTAATACAAGCAAACGGACGCGAACACTTCGCTGTTGCTTCGTGAAAACTTAACTTGCGAGGCTGCAATGAAAATTCCGCGTATCGATTACGATCTGACTGGAATATCAACGATTCGCACCTTTCTATATCCGTGAATTGGCCGCTAACACGTGGGATATTTCTGTGAATATTGGATGAATTAGGAGATTTGGGTCGAATAATTCATTGGGTGACTCTGGGGTTGGAAAAAATTCAAGGATGTTTTGTGAGGAAACATCAGTTCGTGAATGTATGATGGCTTTTTGGGGGATTTTTTGATCTGTAAGAAATTTAAGATTTTTAGATTTTGGAGTAGTGGAATTTTTTAATATTGCAATAGTGGAAGATTTGAACTTATGAATAGTGGAAGTTTAGAGTCTTTAAAAAACAGTAAAATTTTTGATCATTGAAATATGTAGTTGAATTTTTGGACATTGGTTTAGTGGAAGTTTTTGTACTTTGAATATTGCAATTTGCTAACTATATTGGGATTTTTGAAGCATAGAGTAGTTAAATTTTTGAACCTTGAAGCAGTGAAATTTTTTATCTTTGAAAGATTAGAATTTATTTAACCTTGCAATAAATAAAGTAAAAAGTAAATAAATGAAAGAATGAATTTTTGAATCTAAATAATGAAAAGATACCACATGCAAAGATAATATTAAAATAGTGAAAGCTTTGAACTTATGAATAGTAAAAGGTTAGAGCCTTTGAACTGTAAAATTTTTGATCATTAGAATGATTGAATTTTTGAACATTGAATTAGTGATATTTTTGAAACTTTGAATATTGCAATTTTTTAACTATTGAATATTAGAATTTTTTGATCTTTTGAATATTGGAATTTTTGAAGCATAGAGTAGTAAAATTTTTAAAGATTGAAGCAGTGAAATTTGTTATCTTTGAAAAATTAGAATTTACTTCACCTGGCAATAAATAATTAAGTAAAAAAGGGAATAAATAAAGCAATAAATTTTTTAATCTAAATAATACAAAGACATTACCAGCATAGTTTAGATATCGTACATTCAGTTGCATAAATAAAGTAAAAGTTATTTCACGCATGGTTAGAAAGCAATATATTACATCGTCGAATATGGTCTGCTTTCGGAAATCTCTCTGAAGACTTAACGATGCGAAAGATCAAAGGAATAAATTAGCGCAGAACAAACTTCTCTGCCATAATATCGAACGAAATTCATTGAAACAATTCGAGGTTGGTTAGTGATTTAACATTGGCGGAATCGCAGGCAGTAATTAATTCAACAATGTACATTCGATTTTACAGTATCGGTATTGTTCGATATCCCCGTTATTTTAAGATTTACGCGTACACATATTTCCCGTGTATTTTTCTCTGGTCTTTTTTTTTTGCATAGAGAATGTTGCGAGAACGGGATCGCAATAAATCCGCGTAATTTGCGCGTATTATTTCTTCGAACGATGAAAATTTAATAACGCTTGCGATATTAGTCGGCGGCGATTAATATCGAACGTGGTCGATCGATACCCGCTTCGGTCACTGCTACCACTTTTTTACCCTTTAAATTATACCCTTAATTAATAATTTAAAAGATATTATCGACGGAAAAGTGGTACAAGTATTAATATTACGTATGTACTTTACGTAATGTAACTTTGTGGATTATTGAAATCTCATTTTGGCTGTCGTGAATGAAATATTTGATATATTAAATGAACAAATGGATCAGAATTTTAGGTTGTTCGATTAATTTTAGTGAGGGTGTAATGAAAGGAATATTCAAATAGATATGTCATTAATTATATGTATAGGTATTTTTATTATTTTACCAATGACTATGAAGCTTTTATTTTATTAAATAATTTACATAGATACATAAGTATAAATTTAACCTAATATATATTAATTGTTATTAATATAAATTTAACCTATTTATATTGATTTTTGTTAACATAAATTTAACCAATTTATATTAATTTAACCAATTTATATTAATTGTTATTAATATAAGTTTGACCTACTTATACTATTTATTATTAATATACATGAATACTTATTTTAATTATTATATTAAGCATTTTGAACAACGAATGATTTCGTCAAAGTTTCAACTGTTTTAATTTAAAAACAAATGTGTCCAACATATGTAGTTTGAGTGTTAAAATCAAGGAGCCTTTCTCACATTTTTGGGACGTAATTCAGTTCCCGCTGAATGTGAATAATTTAATTTATTATCATGGATTATCACAATTCACCGCATAGAGCTCAAATCGCGTTAATACCAGCTGACGTCATCTTGTAGGGTCAATACTAAGTAGGGAGTTGCAACTTTGCTTATATGGCAGTAGCTGCACATAAATGTACACTTTGACTGCCACGTTATCCACATGTAAGTGACGTTTACATCATACGAATCACATATATTATTGAATTGAAAATACTTATGGGTTTAATGTATTTAATGCTACCAAAGAATTATAGGTTTAATATATTTAATAAGATGAATAAGCTTGAAATATTGTGACATATTATGCATTTTTTTGGCAACTGATTGCCGTGTCGCAAACATCTATTCGTCTCGGCGTCACAAATGTTTCTCCCCGATGAATATATTATAAAATACATTGCCCGTCATACGTCATACATTATAAAATACATTGTACACCATACATCACACATCATTACAAAATACATTCCCTACAATATTAACTATTTGAATAATGAATATAACTGTAAATAATAAAAATAAAATACTGTAAAAATATTCGTGAGAAACAAAAGAAAACTACCCCAAAAAATGATCAACTATTTCAGTAGGTGAATCAACGTGTTAATCACTAAAAATACTGAAAATGCCACTATTTACTAACTCCAAACACCACTCGAAATATCGTCATTTTCCAAAGTAGTTACCACTTCCAAACTCTACATGGCAACAGAAAACAGAAAGCTCATCCAGAAAATGGTCTCGAACAAGAATGATCTTTGTTGCAGGAATACCGTTGCACGATGAAGGGCTGTCGTGGCGCAAGAAATGTCCATTCGAGCGCAAAAACGTCAACGTGTCGAGGCTGAGCTGCCAGAGATCCTCCTGAATGGAAGCGTGCGCTTCAAAGAGGGTTGCAAGTGCGAGAGAAGCAGACGATAGGCCGGAGAAAAGGGCCACTATCATCCCCTAACAAGCGTTCCCCTGCTCTGGGAGTCGTAACGGAAGAAAAAATGACTAGGCTTCTGTACGCGTTGCTGTCGCTGCTGTCGGTGGCGTGCAGCCTTCAAAGCGGGGGTGTAACCAGGGGTGGCAGCCGCATTCAGATCGGTACCAGCGAGAGGGGGACGCATTCAAAGGGCACGGGGTTGTTCGGGGGACGTGGACAAGGGGCAATAAAACTCGGCGAGGGGAGATTTCCAAATTCGACCAGGCAATTTCGACCGTTCACCACCACTACGACCACCCCTATGCCCATGAAATCTACACAGGCGCCACAAACTTCCGACAAGAATCGTTACAACATCACGTACTTGGAGGTATGTGCTATTTTAGTGGTAGTTAACCTCCTAGGCTTTTACCCGGCTCTGCTTCTCTGTCACAACTCGAATTACGTGCAAATAGCACTACAATATGTGACAATACTGTTCTCTTAACGAGAAGATTGAAATTTTGATGATTAAAATATAATTTTTCTCAAAGATATGATACATATACTTAAACTTGAAATAAAATAACTATATATATAAAATTTCAATGAATTAATGCGATATTTTCTGAAGTTACCAAAATATAGGATAAACAAAGACAGGAGCATATTAATTTTATAGCAGAAGTTCGAAAAATGCTCAGAAAATCATATTCGAAGTGTTCGGTCCCCAAACTTAACCTCTTAGGCACCACTGAATTTTACACGACGCTGCTTCTCTGTATGGCAGATTTCGAATTACGCATAAATAATACAATGTGTGACAATACTGTTCAAAGCGAGTACATTGGAATCGAAATGATTAAATTATAATTTTTCCGAAAGATATACATATACTTTAATTCTGATAATTGACTTTTTTCGAAAATTCACAAAATATATTTCCAAATGTTTCTAATATCGTATTAATGCAAAGAGCCCATGGTGCCTGAACTTGGCACCTTTTATTTTCATGCAATGTACTTTTGTGAGATTTGTTAATACTCTTAAAAAACGTGAAGGCAAAAAAATGCGAATCAAAACATATGAAAACGATCGTTGAATTGAAACGGTGAGAGTCAGTAGAGTGAGTCATAACGCTATGTGATCTACGATGACATGAAAGCCACTATAGTAGATTGTCGTACAGATGGTCGAAAGCCACTATAGTGCCTAAGAGGTTAACGAAAAGCAGTAAACCAACCAAGTTCAATCTTACACAAGTTTTCTGATCATCTACCACGAAAATCTTCGAAACTTCACTCGTGTATCAATAAACTGTCTTCGAACCTTATAATAGAACCTTAAAATAAAAGTTATTTCATCCTAAAGAGTTCTTCATCAAAAAAACCTCATCCAGTTGACATATCAGTAAATTAAGAATGATGACAGTGTTAAACTTGAATCTGATATGAATACAATAAGCTTGAGTTCATGAAATCCTCTCAGACATTTAATTCACCGTGTCACACGTACGCAAACTGAGCGAACTGTACTCTGCTACCTGTTCAATATATTTGGATAATCAATGAATTTGTTATAATTTGAATTACATGCTTTATATATAATTTACATGATCAATTTGTATCTTCTGGAACGAACATTGATAGTGTTTCTTCAGCTCAGAAAACGGAAATCGAGTATTCAGTTTCCATTTACTCGTAGTGTTTTTAGCATCTCCCTGCGCATTCTTATCCACAAAAATCGGAGAAGCTTTCGAGGAATGAAATTAGGTGACCTTATTCCTTCGAGCGTTCCGTAGCTCCGTATTTCGAATAATTTCGTTGTGCCGATAGTTTCAGCTACAGTAATCAGGACAACATTCCAACCTAGAATTTCTGTCAGTAAACAGAGATGAATTTTTGCTTGGCTTGAAGCGACTTCTTTTTACCGTGCACGTCGTTGCGTTCGCTGACTTTACGAGGAACCTTAGTCTTCTCTCGAAAAAGAAGCAATAAAAAATTCAACAGATTTCCGGGAACGTAGAAGAAGCAATGTAGTTTCTTGCTTTGGATGAAGATCGATACCATTCAATAAATAATAGCTTCTTGCGAATCGGGTACGAATTTCTCTGAATCTGGAGAATGTATTTTTACGTGGTTGAAATTTTCTTTGATTCAATTTGTGGAGTTTGTACATTTTAAATTTAGCTGTGCATTGTAGATTTAGATGTATTTTTTGAAGTGGTAGAGATTGAAAATTGTAAGTGTGAGTTAAAGTAGAAGCTAGTAGAAATAGAAGCAAATGAATTAGTAAATGAATTACATGTCAGTGGATATTGAGGGAAAGTTATTGGCTACTTTTGTGTAAGTGGAATTAATTCAGTAGTAATAGCAGCTTTGCAAACTCCGAGAGGTGGCAATTTTAGAATGATAATTTGGAAATTGACAATTTAGAAGAGTGGAAGAATTTAGAAATATGGGAAGGTGAAATGTGAAGAAGAAATTTTGGAACTGTAGAATTTAGAGATTTTGGTATTTAAAAGTTTGGGGAGAAATGTCAATCTGGAGACTGGTGCATTATTTGGAGGATTGGAACTTGGGAAATTTGGGAATTTAGGAATTTAGGAATTTGGGAATTTGGGAATTTAGGAATTTAGGAATTTGGGAATTTGGGAATTTAGGAATTTAGGAATTTAGGAATTTAGGAATTTGGAATTTAGGAATTTAGAAATTTGGAAATTTGGAAATTTGGAAATTGGAAAATTGGAAAATTGGAAAATTGGAAAATTGGAAAATTGGAAAATTTGGGAATTGGGAAAGTGGGAAATTTGGGAATTGGGAAAATGGGAAAGTGGGAAATTGGGAAATTGGGAAAGTGGGAAAGTGGGAAATTGGGAAGTTGGCAATTTACGAATTTGGGAATTGGGAAAGTGGGAAATTTGGGAATATGGCAAATTACGAATTTGGGAATTGGGAAATTGGGAAATTGGGAAAGTGGGAAAGTGGGAAAGTGGGAAAGTGGGAAAGTGGGAAAGTGGGAAAGTGGGAAAGTGGGAAAGTGGGAAAGTGGGAAAGTGGGAAAGTGGGAAAGTGGGAAAGTGGGAAAGTGGGAAAGTGGGAAAGTGGGAAAGTGGGAAAGTGGGAAAGTGGGAAAGTGGGAAAGTGGGAAAGTGGGAAAGTGGGAAAGTGGGAAAGTGGGAAAGTGGGAAAGTGGGAAAGTGGGAAAGTGGGAAAGTGGGAAAGTGGGAAAGTGGGAAAGTGGGAAAGTGGGAAAGTGGGACATATTTGTGATTTTAAGAATTTGGAAATTAATGGATTTGAAAATTTGTAAATGTCAAAATTTGAAACATTTGAAACTTTATAATAATAACTAAAAAAATCGTAACACTATTATCCACTAAAAGTTTACCAAATGAGAATAGAATCGAAGTAAAAGTACATCTAATTCAATATAGTTCATCAAAGATTCAACAACCTTTACTCCATACCAACATTTATATTCTCATATATAATTACATCCGTCCACCTTCCTTTATACCGCACTAAAAAGCCCTTCAGTATTTTAATTATAACTGCAATGTCCAACAAATCTTCCACTCGAAAATTAATATCTCATTCCCCGTACATTCTCATTACGATAGCAATTGCACCAACACTAGGCAACTCGTTGCTACGTAAATTCAATTCCGTAAGAATAACCTCTATTTCCCATTAATTACACGACACAACCAGTTGGTCCTGAATCTTTTTTGCATCCACTTTTTCACGGTCGACGACTGAAATATTAGCCTCGTTGTAATTACAAACTCCTCCTTCCGTGAGCTACAATTTCCTATGGTAATCGTTTCGAACACACCACGGAAAGGTGTGTCCAGCTTTCGGAAGTAATTATACCTTTCCCTCGGTTCAATCCCCATTACTCTCGATCCTCGATTCTCGTCGGTGCGAAATATCGCTTTCGATCAGCTCTGCGGGTGACATTTAATCATCGTAATGCACCTTCCATGAATGCATTCTCGACGTCTAAATAACGATTAACGTCGTGATCATTTCGATTTAATTCATCTTTGATCGTCGCTATTATCGAGTGAATTTTTAGAAAACAATTCCGAATACATTTTATTTAACATTCGATTGTTTGAACGTTTTGTATCTAGATGCGGAATTCGAATGTGGGCTTTGGGAATTTGGGAATATGGCAATTTACGAATTTGGGAATTAGGAAATTGGGAAAGTGGGAAATTGGGAAAATGGGAAAGTGGGAAAGTGGGAAAGTGGGAAAGTGGGAAGTGGGAAAGTGGGAATTTGGGAACGTTTTGTATCTAGATGCGGAATTCGAATGTGGGCTTTAGGAATTTGGGAATATGGCTATTTACGAATTTGGGAAATTGGGAAATTGGGAAAGTGGGAAATTGGGAAATTAGGAAATTGGGAAATTGGGAAATGACGAAATTAAACTGTAACTAAAGTATAATTTAGTGGGAAAGTGGGAATTTGGGAAATTTGGGAATATGGCAATTTACGAATTTGGGAATTAGCAAATTGGGAAAGTGGAAAATTGGGAAATTGGGAAAGTGGGAAATTGGGAAATTAGGAAATTAGGAAATTGGGAAATTGGGAAATTGGGAAATTCGGAAAGTGGGAAAGTGGGAAATTGGGAAAGTGGGAAATTGGGAAATTTGGGAATATGGCAATTTACGAATTTGGGAATATGGCAATTTACGAATTTGGGAATTAGGAAATTGAGAAATTGGGAAATTGGGAAATTGGGAAATTGGGAAATTGGGAAATTGGGAAATTGGGAAATTGGGAAATTGGGAAATTGGGAAATTGGGAAATTGGGAAATTGGGAAATTGGGAAATTGGGAAATTGGGAAATTGGGAAATTGGGAAAGTGGGAAATTGGGAAATTGGGAAATTGGGAAATTGGGAAAGTGGGAAATTGGGAAATTGGTTTACCAATATGTGATTGAATGACGAAATTAAACTGTAACTAAAGTATAATTTACATCTTTAACCCTTGAGCTACAATGACGAGCTATGTTCGTGACGAACTTGAAGTTTAAATATGGTGAAGAGTCACAAATTGTACAGTTAGGATCCAAATCCTTTATGAAACACATGATGACGGGAAAAATCCAAACTGTTTTATATCTTATATGGAGATGTGGCAGAATTTTGTGTCATAACGACTATACCCGTCAAGTGCCCAGGAAAATTTAAGACATTGAAATTTTCTAATTATAGGAATTTGATGATCTAGGCGTTTAAAGATTTAGGGATTTGATAACATAAAAGTTTGAAGACCACATTTGGAATATTATAATAATTTGGCAATCTACAAATTCAATGGTCTGCAACTTTCAACACGTAAAAATTAGGTAATACAAGGATTTTATGACATAGTAATATCGAGATCTAGAAACATGTGAAATTAAAAAATTTTAAATCTCGAAAATTCAAAAACAACAGTCAAAAATTCGAAAACTTCAGAACTCACTTACCTGCACTAATATTGCTATGAAATAAACAAATTATCATTGAAATTGTCTTCGAAATACAAGAAATGTCCCTTTCGCCTCCATTTCTTCTCTATTGTCTTCACAAGAATGTATAGAAGAAACCGTTCGCGGAACACGAATAAAAGAAACGGATATAATCAGAGGGTAATAAAAGCCTGAAACGAGAATAGAAATTAAAGCTTGAAAAATTAGTACACGAAAGAAATTGTCGGGAAAGGAGCTAAAAGATATTGCAAGAAGGTGAATGAAAATATAATGACAGAGAAAAGAACAATTACATCTCCATTTCGCAACGTAATGTTGAAGTTATAACAAAAAATGGCGGCAATTACGGTACAGTTGTTCGGAAAGTGGGTCGTGACCGGCTAATTGCGGGTAAGAAAATGATTTACACCTCTAATTAACCATATGGGAACGAAGGAGAGAAACGTAGAAAGGGCAATGTTCCTCTCGAATAACCGCGAACTTTCTCAGGAAGTTGGTCTCAATTATGGCACCGGTCGCAGGTTGCCGGCAAAAGCTTTCGAGGTAAAAAGATATAATCTGATCGAGAAAAGTTTCGACGTGATAGGCAGAAATGTAACTTGGTGTCCATTCTCTGCCCATGCTCCATTCATCTGACCCGATCGATTCGCGCAACAGGTGTTCGCTGACCCATTCTCGCTATAATAAAGTGAACACGTTGAATGCATTTTTTTCGCTTGTTTAAATACAAGATTACTGTATTTTGCTGAAAATCGAGAGAAATTCTTCCGATTTTATATTCGCTCGAATATAGCCTACGTTATTAACGCTAGGTCTACGGACGCGTCATTTTGACGCATTTCGAATTTTTTTAGGAAAATAAAGACCGTTCGCATTTTTATTTTACTGTACTGACTCTTATCCATTGAACGAGGTAAATATTGAAGTCTATTTTCTTTAGAAGCTTTGAAATATTCAAATTTGCTATGTGGTCCTATCTCTACGGATGTGCGTCAATTTCACGCGATCGTAATGTAAATAAAATTTTTAGTAAATTAGTTTTACCCATGCAAAAATTACAACAATAATAAATATGAATGCACCGACAATACCTCATAAATGGCGGACTTTGCTAGTTCGGAGTCGCACGCGACCGGCTCAGCCGGTATGCTGGGTTCGGACCCGGTGTCGCAGTACAAATCGAAGTTCGCAGGGTAGAGGGAAGTAAAAATATGAATGTAGAATATTGAAGTAATATACTAAAATATTATTGAATAATAAAAACTTTCTATTTTCATTTCTTGTAGTGTTTAATTATATTGCTTTCTAAGGGGTTGTTTTTCTTTAAATATATCTTCATGCGTCAAATTGACGCGTGTTCGAGGAGATTCATTCATTGTTTACATTAATATTACATTACAATATGGCATAATTATAAACAATTATTATATGTATTTTCTATATAATTTTTAACGATTTTTGAGCACTTCAAATCCAGTTATATGTAAAGGTAGTAATTATGGGTTTAGTATAACGTTCAAATTACCTTCGATATTTAATATTTAGAATAATTTCATACACTTAAAAATTATATAATATAATAATATCGTACATTTTAAAGTGATATAATATAATTATATATAAAAATTACATGAATTACATAAAATTATGCATATAACGGTTTTCGATCATTTCGAATTCAGTTATACGGAAACGTATCGATGTTGCATCCACTGCTGTTCTTGTCACGCGAACGTGTTTTTGTGTGTAACAGGTGGGCATGGTTGTGCCGCATAAGTCTTTCGGAGTGAGGGAATACACAAAAGCCGTGACATCAGCTGTACATTCGCTCCAAAAAAGCACCAGAGGGCCGAAATTAAGGTTTTTCGAAAGATACGACATTCATGTGAAGGTGTCTATGAAGGCGTTAACACCCAGTCCCACTGGTAAGTCTTTTAATCGTTTCATGTACTTCGTAAATTTGCTTAACAAGACCGTCGTAAATCTTATAGAAAATTTAAATTTCCTTTTAACTGAACAATTAGAAGTTTAAATAGTATTAGTGTTAATACAAAATTAAAATTCAAAATGATAGATAAAGATTTTTTTAACATCTGAAATATTAGAACCGATTATATCATCAATCATTTATTTTCCATGTGACTACTGCGTTAATATTTTAATTTTAAGACATTTTTAAGGTTCGAATGTTTAAAACTGAAAATTAGTCAATTGTTTAATTAATAATTTGTCTCTAACTCGATTTAATCCTCTAATATGGCACATAGTCGTTTCCCAAATACGGAAGCACATAACATTGAAAATTAACTAATAACATCATTAATTTACCGATAATATAACACTTAACGTGTTCATATTTTAGTAATAAATCATTTATCTAATCTGGAATTTAACATTGAAAATTACCTAACTATGCCATCAATAATTTACCTATAATACGTAATTATGTCATTAATAATTTCTCCTAATGCAACACCTGACGTGTAAATATTCTAATAATAAATCATTCACTAAACTTTAACATTGAAAATTAATTAATATCATTTAATAGTTCAGTTCAATTATTAATTAATAGTATAATTGATTAATTAATAGTTTGCCTCATTAAACAATATGCTAATATCTGAATATTAAGATTAATATTTTAATAATAATTCACGAAACTAACATTGAAAATTAAACAATACATTCAATAGTTTAATTTAATAATTTATCATTAAACGAAACAGTCAATATATCAATGCTTAAATATTAGGATAAAGCTCTAAGCTGTTACAATAACAGCTCTACCAAAAGCTAGCGAAAAGCTTTGATAGAATTCACAGTGTGACAAGAGATGAAAGACAATTACTTCGAAATTAATGAACCCGAATTACCGTGACGGAACTTCTTAATCAATAACTTCACCTTTCGCGCACAATTTCAACAGGGTCTCCTAGAAACTTAATTCTAGATAGGGGACTCGAAATAACAACAATTTACACTTTAATGTAGTATTTGTTAGCGAAACGTTTCGCACGTGACGCAGCTTCCTCCGAAGTTGTTAAGTATAATAGAATCCACGCACGAGGACTTCTATTCTGTTTGCAAAGATCCTCTGCCGCGTTCTCTGTCTTATTGTTCTCTCGATAATCCTGCTAACGAGAGTAAAATAAACCAACGAGGAATCAAGAATTGCTCGAGAGTTTCAATTAATTCCGTTCGCTAAATTGAATTACTATGAATGAATACTACGGGGGCTCTGATAAAAAGAATTTCATCTTGGAAATGGGTAAAATTGTTCCTCAAACATCGCCTCACTTAATCATCTGCCTTTGCTTCATTTCTCGAAAGGATTAAATAGAAAAGATGTAAGGACTGTCTGTCTGGTCGAATTCAATTATCCAAATTTGATTGCTCGTTGAAGTTTGTTCTTTCTGAGCGACATCGATTTTTGGGGAAATTGTCAGCTTCTTAAGTTTATTGTTTCTTGATTTTATTGTATTGTATTATTATATTGTGTGTGAATATCGAATATTCACATACATACATACATACATACATACATACATACATACATACATACATATACATACACACATATGCGTACATACATATACATACACACATATGCGTACATACATATACATACTTACATATTCATAAATACATATGTATACATACACACATATGCATACATGCATCTACATACTTACATATTCATACATACATATGTATACATACACACATATGCATACATGCATCTGCATACTTGCATATGCATACATACACAAATACTGTTATAAACATACATAAATTCGTACCTACACAAACTCATACATACAATGATAAATTTATTGATATGTAGACATCCTATTCATTACATGTTATAAAAATATATAAATTATTAGACATAAATTTCTTAATTTCATAAAAATATATATTGTAAGACATTTCTGTAGAACCATAATACAATATTAAATATCTGTATTTTATAAAATGACGAGGTAGGAAGGATCTCGTTGACCAGGCACGTATCAGAAAGTGTACTTAATCCGCCATTTTGTCCACTCGCTGTATACCGCCATTCGAAAGTCGTTGAATCCCGCCGATGCGACGTGCAAACAAGACGGAAGTGCAATGCAGATAACCGTATCTCGAGGTACTCGTACAGATCGCAAGAAGGAAACATGTTGAAGTAGGTTCTCCGAGTGACGTCAGACGGGAACAAGGTGAAGGATGATAACGAATCCATGGGGAAGCGGAACTTATTTACGAGGCAACCGTAAACGCGGCCGTAGCCACTTTTTCGCTAAAGCTCCCTGAACTCTTGTGAACCGTTTCATTTCTAGTGAACGTTCCTTCGGGACGAAATGAAATGAGCTGTGTAAAAAAAAGCATAATAGAGCTTTCCAGTATCTCAATCGACGGTTTTCCTCGTTTCGATACGATTAAGAGCTGAACAGCAGGTGGATGAGGAGGTAAAAATGAAATGACTCTTGGTGAATTTCTTTTAACCTTTTGTGACGTCAGGCAACTTTGACATCATACATGTATGCTGCGGGCTCAGAAAATGGATGGTGGTCATAGTTAACTCTTTGCATTATCTACTTTTTTTATTTGTTCCTGACGAAGTTTTTTGTGGTTTAGTAATTCTTTATGGATAATTATTATGTGTTATGTCATAAGCAAATATATCTTTGATGTAACGAGATATTTTGTATACTTATCAAATATATTGTGAGTAAATCATTAAAAATTAGAGATAAAGGTTCTTGTTGTTGTGAAAAATATTTTGTTGTTTATTAATTTTGAATCATTTGAAAAATATTGTTTTCTATCATTTTTCATTTTTAACGAGAGTAAACTATTCTTATGTAAATCATTCTTCATGATTAGGTTAAGTAAAACTTAGTGGTTAGGTTAGGTTCTATTCTAAGATCCTAAATGGTTAGGTTAGGTTCTATTCTAAAATCTTAAATGGTTTAGGTTTACTTAAGAATAGTTTACTTTCATAAAGAATGAGAAATGAAATTAAAAATTAAAATTTATTTACAACAAAATATTCCTCCAAAATACCTTTATGTCTCGAATAAACGATAAATAAAAAATAAATAAATATATACCTTCATTTCAACTGAGTATTTGATATGATAAATAAATATGCCGGACATAATAAGCAACGTTTAAACAATCGATACACCAAACAGCAGGGACTGAAACAATAATTTTCCAAGTATTAAAAATTAATTAGCAATATAGCACATGAAGTACACTCTCGATGTAATGAATATTTTCAACATCGAACAAATACATTTCGAACAAAGCCACCAACGAAAAACGATTAAAACGGTATTTTTCAAAGCACTCGAAATTGATTGGCTGCAAAACATTTCCACGCCAGTCAGAATTTTTATCGTCCCCTGCAAAAACTGCGAACCATAGAAGATTAAAATAATATTTGTCAAAGCAGTTTCAATGAAATTGGCTGAAACCACTATGGAACAAATATGTATCTGCATGGTCCCGAATGCATAAAATTGAATTCTAAAATTGATACCATTTTGAATAGTTGAGTTCTGTTAGCGAATTATTTCTCGATAAAAATATCTTGTTTCGTGATATTTTGAACAGTAATACTGCATTTTATCGAACCAGGTATTTTTTAAAGGAAATAGGTTTTACTGCATCGAGTGTGGTATACAAAATGGCCGCGTGGGACAACATTGTGACTGGGTTACGTCGCTATGTTTGTGGCGTCACATGATACGCGTGTTATTCTCATAAAAAAATATCAATAAACGTATTTAAATGTGTAATAAACTTCGGGTTTGATAAACAGATTATACGTTTCCATTTTGATGTATCAGTGAATATGATTGGTATTTGTATAATTGACATATTTGTAGACATGGTACAGAATTATTTTGCAGTCCCTGGCTATCAAATTAGGAGAACAAAATTTCACTTTTACAACTGTAACAGTATATATGGAGAATTGTCTTCGATAATGCAAAATTATTACTGTAAATTTTACTACAAATTTTTAAGAATGATTGAAAAAGTTTTGGTTACTTTGTAACACTCAATCATGGAATAATGATCAACTTTCATTCCTCCGTTCGTTCCATTTCGATAACGCTTCTTAACACTGGAATTACCAGGGAAGTTAAAATTACTTTCCTGGGAGACCACGTTTTAAATTACTGTATTTTTTAAAGTTACTTCACGTGGAAATATACAGTCCTCGGACCACGTACGAAAATTTCACTTTTATGGCTATAACATTGTGGCATATATGGAAAATTGTCTTAGGTCACGCAAATTATTACTAAATACGTTGATAACGATATGTACATAGCAATTTATTACTATCGTGATAAATTGTGTGGGTGATGAGCGATTAAGGGCATTGCGTTTGCGTTAGGAGTATCGATAGCGCGTCAGGTGAAATTTGAATACCATAGAAAATGTCTGCCTATTCAAAAGACTAGTTTAAAACTCTCCGATCACATTATCTGAGCTGAAAAGAATTACAGATATTTGGAAAAATAATATGAAGATACAAAGCATATGATCCATGTACAAGCATGTGCGGAAAGCTACCAAAGTAAAGGGTAATACAAGATGTTAACACGTGTTAATAATATTACGTACAGTAATAGTGTATCATGTGTAGCTAATAAATTATGTCATTACTATCTGAACAGACCTTCTAAATATAAAAATGTAAAATGAAGTACGTGAGAAATGCTGAAAAGTAATGGCCCTAATAATATAAAAGTCACATCATCGCGGAAAAAAATGTGACATGAATTTTAAAATGAAATAAAACCAGTTTCGGCTGGTAGTGTTAATCGCATTAAGCAAGAGTTTCAAGCATCCGAGGCGCGAACAAATTTCTGAATGAAAAATTCTCTCATAATTGAAGAGGGAGTCACGGTTT